TTTATATTTAATGTATCTAATATTAATTTGAACCCTTCAAAAAAAAAAATTCAACTAAATTGATCCTTTTAATGTTACTCTAAGCGAGGAAGAGACGTTATGGATCTAGTGATTATAAGCTCGAATGGTAGAAGATTAATTAATTAAACTCTTTAATTAATCAATTTTCATTCCATAACTATAGGTCACTTCATTAAAAGTTTAGAGTTTCACTCTTATGCATGGTAGGACAAGTTGTGTTTAGCAATTTGATCCACCACGAGTTGTTTGTAATTATAGCTAGTTCAAAAGTCGGTTTTACCCCTATAACTGCATCTATTGCTTTAATTAGTACCGGTATGATCTAATCATAAATTAAGTCTCTTACGGGTCAATGGGAGAGTGGAGCTATCACGACTTAGTTTTTGAGGTTTCGAATCTCGAATCGTGATGAAAAAAGACAAGACAAAATAAGGTAAGTGTAACGAATTGGAAAAAAAAAAAAAAAAAAAAAAAGGAAAAAGTTAGATAATGATACTCACCAAGAATCATGAGATTCAAGTTAAATTAGATTAGGAAATTGAGTTATTAAGAAAATTGAGTAAATGTTATATAGGAGATACCTCGGCAACACTTGGAATAAGCTTTAGAGAACGAACTCAAGCACTTAACTTTAGGGAGAATGTCCGTTAAGGCCAACCAAGTAAGTGGCATTACTATCGGCATGATTAGAAGTTTATGTTTGTATGATGACATGTGCTCCATGGGGTTCTACAGTTGTCATATGTTTGATATATGTGAAATGTTTATGAAACGATTTGTGATATAATACAACTATGGTATGATATGTTAATGTCATGACACGTGTTATGATACGATGTGCTGATGATATGATATATGTTATGGTGTATAACACGTTTTATGATATGATACGTGCATGATATAATATGATATGTTGAAGGACATGTTATGTGCATGATATGACATAATACGATATATGATATGAATGATACGGTATTCAACCCTGATACATGTCTTAAAAGGCTATGTTGTAAAATGATATATATGAAGGAAAAATGGAAGGGGTTGATTTAAATAGTTTAATAAATGAAAAATGTTGAAACCTCATGCATCATTGTATGTTTCATGCATCGAGAAATTTCTCTGTTTACGATGGGTACGGACGCATACATTACGAAAAGGAAAATGATTATTATTTTTATCATAATACTACGACGGTCACTATTCTTACGAAGTGTCCTCAGGAAAGGGGCCCAGGAGTTGTGTGAACCGACTGGTGGGTCCATACTCGCAGGTATGCGTCGTGTAGAATAGTAAATATACATCCAATGAGCCACTTAGGACACCTAAGAGAATATAAATTTAAAAGATAGGTCTCATTCATGATTGTATGTGTTTGCATCTAATTTCAACTGTGGAGTCACTTACTGAGTATTTCTTAAAATACTCTATCCACATGCTACTTTTATTTTCCAGGTAAAGGCAAGGCCCCCCTACCTAGCTAATGGAGGCATCATAGGTAGTTGTATTTAATTTAGTAGACTATAGGTTATCATAGGGTATTTGTGTTTTATTTTTACTTGTATCTATTTTAATTTTCCGTTGATTTGTTTTAAAGCCCACATTGATTAGAGAGAGCAACGAGTGTCAGCGAGAACGCTGAGCCCAAAAGGAAGGTGGATTGTGAGATCCCACATCGGTTGGGGAGGAGAACTAAACATTTTTTACAAGGGTGTGGAATCCTTTCTCTAGTAAACACGTTTTAAAAACGTTGAAGAAAAGCCTGAAATGGAAAGCCGAAATAGGACTGCTATCGATGGACTTGGGTTCATACCATATGATTTTTGACAATTTAAAACAAAACACACCACAATTGAAATTAAATAAAAAATATGTATATATATATATATACATAAATGTTCATAAATTATATATATATATATATATATATATATATATATATATATATATATATATATATATATATATATATATATATTTGAGTATTGTTAAAGCATATTCTTTTATCAAAAGTTGCCAAAATGTAAACAGTGACACAAAATTAGATGTGTAGAAAATAAGTTTCTTTCAATATTAGTAAAATATTTTTATAGTATTTTTTATTTTTGTTATTCATAGTTTCTTTCAACTAATTATTTCTATTTTCTATTGTTTATTAGTAAGTGTTCATATTTAGTTGTTTTAGTTCTTTGGTAACGTTGAATTATGTTAGGATGTTACCATTCTAACTTGTTATTACTGAAGAATTATACTTTTTTTTAATAATTATAGATTGATTCGTGTTTGTTTGTGAACTTTTAATATCTTTTATCAAAGATTATATCAAATAATTATGAATTCTATAAATAAAAAATATTTAAAATTTTAAAAAAATATAACAGCCTAACAACTCGAATGGGTTAGGTTGGGTTGTGAAAATTTTCGAGTCTGATTGGGTTACCAATCCAACCAACCCAACTTGTCCCATAATAACCCTACAAATGACGGAACCACTACATAGGGTAATCCAGCCAAACTCTCTCTAAGTCACACGTCTTTAACCAGCCTTACACCTAGCTTGACGGTACCACTAGAGCGAAAAGGGAGGTAGAAGCACCGCAAATATTGTACTGGTTGTTATCAGCCTACAAGCTACCTTTATTTTTCTCTAGGGTTGTCGTGGTGTTCTTCTAGGTCTCTAGGGCATGTAGATGGTTTAAATCTCGTCTCTCGTTTTTAGGACGTTTGGGGTTAACTCTTCGGGTCAAACCAATCTCTAGGTGCACACAGGTCTAACCCTTTGATTGCTAGCATGTTCTTGAGGTGCTTGGTCTACTGAAAACATACTAACCTGGGTCAACATGTAAACCGCACTAGCTGTAGCGTCCTAATCTTAATTGAGTTTTCTCATGCATGTTTTACTAGGAGATATTCTTATCGATCACCTAAGCACATAATCCACCATTCAAACTTCATCTTAGTCATATATGGGGACCAATGAGGTCTATTAGATTCCTAAGACGGCTAGGTGGCTTAATGCAGTCTTCCAACTCTAGGTTGCTCTATTCTGACTCCTCGAGTCTTTCTTAGTCTTGAAGCACTAAGGTCTAGACCCTTCGATTGTCGCTCATGATCCTAAAGTGTTCAATATACTGGAGGCATCATGACCTAGGTCATCCTCTAGCCAACCTAACTCTAACGTCCTAGCTTTGTGCAGATAAACACGCTCTACATGTAGAATACATAGTTGAACACCTAGAGCTAACACATACTATATCATGCACGCTCTACAATGTACGTGGTCTGTCAGTTTGGACCCTTATAAAGAATGCTTGCACACGTTCCCCTCTAAAATTGATGTCGTTCTCAAAATCCACCCTCCTTCGGGGCCCAACGCCTTTGCTGGCACTCGTTTAACTCTTCAATCGATGTGGGATCTCACAATCTACCCCCTTCGGGGTCCATTGTCCTCGCTAGCACACTGTCTGGTGCCTGACTCTGATACCATTTCTAACATCTCAACCCCACGGATAGTAGATATTGTCCTCTTTGGGCTTTCCCTTTCGGGCTTCTCCTCAAGGTTTTTAAAACACGTATGCTAGAGAGAGATTTTCACACCCTTATAAAAAAATATTTCATTCTCCTCCACAATTGGTGTGGTATCTCACAATCCACCCCCTTCTTTAGGGCCCAACGTATCCTCTCTCGCACTCGTTCATCTCTCCAATCGATGTGAGATCTCACAATCTCACCTCTTCGAGGTCCAGCATTTTTACTGGCACACTGCTTGGTATACCACCTCGTGTTTGGCTCTTATACCATTTGTAATAGCTCAAGCCCATCGCTAACAAATATTATCCTCTTTGGACTTTCCTTTTCCGATTTTCCTCAAAATTTTTAAAACCTATAATTAAACGAGTCAAATTTATCCTTCATAAAACAAAATTTTCCCAAATTTTAACACAAAGATTCAATACTTGCCATTGTCTGCCCAATAGCATATTTGGAAATGTTTTTTGTGCAAAAAGAATCCAAAATACACATTCCCAATTTGAAGAAAATAAAATCAGGAAATGTTTTGGAAAATACCTTTAAAAAGCCTTAAATTTAAAAACAAAAAAATCCATGAAAGGAAAAAACCTTAATGAAAAAAATGATACAAATAAAAAAACTAAAAAAAATTAAAATATAAAATATAGAGATTAAAATCAAACGGGTATTAAATTTGAAGGAACAAAATTAGGGTTCGATTGGATTGGGTTGGAAAAATCTTTTAGATCAACTTAAAAATTGAGTTGGTTGAGTTGGTGACCGAACAATCCGAATAGAGTTCATAACCCAACCCGTGAATTGCCGGGTTCTTTTTTTTAATTGTTTAAAACAAAAATCTCATAAGTTTCAAATATCAAATATTGACAAGTCACAAATCATCATTAACATTAGTTACAAACGTTAAATATTCAAGATAGAGTTAGATTGGGTCGAGTTGGATTAAATAGTCTGAATTGGTCGACTTGCTTCTAACCATGATTAACCAAAACATTTGGAGCGAATGACTAAATTATATTGGCATTTAAGTTTGAATCATAAGACAAATATTTACTATATAGTAAATTTCAAAATCTATGAATTAAAAAAAATAACTTAAAAACTTAGGAATCATTAAAATAGATTTGTTTGCATATTGGATTATAGTGGTTGGTTTTTAGATTCCCAAGGACCAAATAAAATATTTTGAAAATACTTTAAAAATATTAATAAAAAATATAAAATTAAAAAATAACATCAAAACAATTTTTTAATTCAATTATTTATTTTGGTAAAAGGCCCTCTTGACCAAATTGTGACCAAATTGTAATTATTTCCCTTTTATTTTTAATAGAAATCAGGGGATGAATATAAAATTTTAAAATTCCAAAGATATTGTAAATTAAAGAAGAAGCCCTTATCCATACCAAACTTAAGAACGAGCCCAACTAGGAGGACAATGAATGCCATAAACAGCAAAAGTAACCCATTTTTTCTTTAATCTTAAGGCATCAGATTAGCAAATAGTAACTCAAGATTCTTCCCTTTTCTCTCTCTGAAAAACCCAATTGATGGATCCGCCTCTTTTCTAGAGAGAGAATTTGGGGCGCTGCTTTGGTGCTTATTCTTGCAGTTTGTCAGATTAGGGTTTTTTTTCTGTTTTCTTTTTTTGTTTTTAATATCATTTCTTCCACAGACATATCTTCCAGGCTCCAGAATTCCCTTCACATGCGGTGAAGTTCTTATGGTATGGAACATTCATTCATTTCTTTGATTTCTTTTTTCTTACGTTTCTTCATTCTCCGACCCCCAATCCCCGAGTTTTTGTGAATTTTTGTTTGGTTCTTATAAATGGGGTTTGGTGGATTACGTAGTTGATTAATGGGTCGATCTTGATTTGCACAGAAAATACAGGAACTGCTTGTTTTGTTTACGTTTTCTCCGATTCGGACATGTTCCTCTTTTTCGTATTCGATTTTTGGAATTTCGTGTCCTCTAATGTGGAAATGGAATAGATTTGATGGAAATTTCCGAGTGATTTATATTGTTTTCTGTGATTTTAGGAGGGAGTGTTGCTTCAGTTGGCAAATTAGGGAAATCTTGCTCCCGATTGTTTATTTGGAGTTCTTCTTAAACAGCGGATGAGTAATTAAGAACTGCGAAGAACGTTCTTAAATTCATTTGCTGGTGGATCTTCGCTTATTTGCTGCCATCTGGGATTTGTGGATCGTTTGAAATTTTTTAACAAAATGGAGCATCGTGAGATGTTCGGTCCAGCTGAGGAAGATGATGTTGAAGATTTTCGAAGTTGTTGTGAAGATCATGAGGATGTGGTGGAAGAAGGGTCTGAGGAGGAGGAGGATCTTGATGAGTTTTCGGTGAAAATGTTCTTTAAGGGCATTTCGATAGCCGAGATTGGTGACCCGTCTTCTGGTCTTTCTGGTATTGGAGTGTTCATGGAAAGATCAGGGAAAGTCCCTTTTATTCAGGTCCAGAAAAAGCTTGATTTCTATGTTGATGAGCTAGTTGCTGATTATTTAGCTTTGATGGATGGATTGGTTGAGGCCATACAGAATGGCGTCCGCTCTATTCGAGCTTTTACCGACTCCAATACGTTATATAATCAGGTTACTACTTCCCCTATCTGCGTAACTTTGCTTGAAAGATTGCATAAACTCTTAAATTTATGTGCATTTTCTGAAGATATGTGAATGTTTGACAGATAACAAATGAAGAGGAGCCTGAAATTCCGCTTCTTGTAGCGCTGAAAGAAAGGATTCTAGAGCATGCTAGCACTTTTGAAGCGTTTTCTCTGAACCTTTCGTCGCATTCAGACCTCGAGCAGCCATTTCATCTCGCGAAAGTGGCTATTGGGGTTCTTTCTTGTCCACAAAAGGGAGATAAATCAATTGAGAATTGTTCGATTTGTTGTGAGAACAAACCGACCGCTATGATGGTTGCGTTGAAGTGTTGTCATAAGTTCTGCTCTCATTGTATGAAGAGTTATGTTGATGGAAAATTAGAGACATCTCAAGTTCCTATCAGATGCCCTCAGCTGAGATGCAAATATTACATCACAAGCAATGAGTTTAAATCTTTTCTTCCCTTGACTTTATATGAATCGTTGGAGAATACCTTAGCCGAAGCGAATATTCACTCAGATAAAATTTACTGCCCTTATCCGAATTGCTCTGTTCTGTTAGACCCGAGCGAATGTTTGTCAGCTCGGGCAAGTTCATCAAGTCAATCGGATAACACTTGTATTGAATGTCCAGTTTGTCAGAGGTTTATTTGTGTTGAATGTTGTGTTCCTTGGCATTCATCAATGAGCTGTGAAGAGTTTCAGGACATCCCATTAGAGGAAAGAGACATTGCTGATATTACCTTACATCGTCTTGCACGAAACAAAAGGTGGCGACGTTGTCAGCAGTGTCGTAGGATGATTGAATTGGCTCAAGGCTGCTACCATATGACATGCTGGTAATGCTACTTCCTCGAAATCTCTCGTTATTTATGTTAACGTGTCGGTTTATGAGATAATTGTGGAAGCACCTGAATCATCGTGAATATATATCATTAGTTGAGTGGAATGTTAGACTTTTTGAAGGATCAGCTTGTAGGACTTGATTAGAAAGTTAGAGGCACTTTATATACTTATTTGCACGTCGTAAACGTGATCTGGTATTTGTACGTATGGTCTATACATCTATGGCCAGGCACGTGGTTTGATGTTTGCACGTCGTAAACATGATCTGATATTTGCACGTATGGTCTATGCATCTATGGCCAGGCACATGTGGTTTGATATTTGCACGTCGTAAACGTGATTTGATATTTGCACGTTGTAAACGTGATTTGATATTTGCTCGTCATAAACGTGATTTGATATTTGCACGTATGGTCTATAATCTATGGTCAGGCTCACGTGGTTTGATATTTGCACGTCGTAAACGTGATCAGCAAATTGCAATGCTTTGATTTTACTAAACTAGGTGCAGGGTTTTCTTTATGTATATGAATTCAATGCTTATACTGATATGTTGCAGGTGCGGGCATGAATTCTGCTATTCTTGTGGTGCTGAGTACCAAGATGGGCAACAGACCTGCCAATGCGCCTTTTGGGACGACGACGATGACGACGACAACTCCGAGGACTTGGTTACCCACTCCATCCAAGAATCTGAGCAGTGGGCATGGGAAACTTTTAATTCCCTCCCGATGATAACGGACGCATACTCAGAGCAAGAGAGATCACAGTTAGCACTAATCCAACGATTCCTGGCTGGGGGATTCAGTCTGAGTGACCACCAACCGTATCAATCGCCACCACGATGTACAGACTCTTATGTCGACACGATGAAGGACCTACACCAACTTCCATGGCTTGAGAGGTTCGTTTCCGTGATAAGTGATAACTACTATGAAGATTACGTACAATGATATATCGATTCTTAGACGAAAAATAAAAGGGGGAGGTAAAAGAGCCTCTCACTCTAGTTTGCCTCCCTCGATACCTCATTTACACCGCCGCACAGCTTGGCGTTTCGATCGCTAGTTACGCTCTGTTTGTCTGTTGAATCATATACTGGAAATTATGAAGTGACCCTCAGAGGTCCTCATTGCATTAGATTAGATTAGAATGAAGGAATCTTATGCAAGAATGTCAGCTTTGCTTGTTTGATTCTTTCCTGTTTCAAACAAAAGAAAAAGACAAGAAATAGTCAAGAATTTAATCAAAATGAAAATTATGTTCGAGTTGAGAGTATATGTTTCGATGAGTTGAGTTATGTTCAAGGTGGACAAGTTAAACCCGTCCTGCCTGAAAGGACGAGATCTCGATGGTACTTTGATGGTACTTCCTGTTCCAAATAGCCTTTGAGAACGTTTAAGGAATTATCGATTTAGTCTTTAAATTTTGGTTTGTAACGTTTAGTTCCTTACCCCTTACAATTTTTATTATTTCCCCTTTTCTCTATTTATTATTTTATAATAATTAGTGTTAATTAAATCACTTTTATGTAAATAATTATTTGTTATTTCACATAAAGTATAAAATTAATTATTAAAAACAAATTTTACCCTAATAAATAAAATATAAAATTAATTTGTCTTGATTAATTATTTTCAATTAATAAATTAATAATTGAATAGACAATAACATCAATAAATGCGACATTTCGCGTATGAACAGAGAATCTCCACCCTATTAAGAACGGACCCCTACAAGCCCGACCCCACAAATTAAATAAACATCTCTATTGCAATCACATCGATAAATCACGCGGTTACTTTCTGAGTTCCTTGAAAGCTCATGCAATTTATTTGTACAAAAACTCAGTTCGAATAAATTAATAACTCATAAAAACAATAAATCAATCAAATTCCCCTATTCTCCCTCTTTTACCATCCTCTGTTTTTCCTTTTCATGTACAAATGGTCCAAGAATGAACGAATCGAAACAAAGTTAACAACTTCAATCTCGAGCTATCAAATAACCGATCATCGACAAGAGGTATCGTTCGAGCCATAGCTAATTTTCTCGAGGCTCAAATCAGACATATCAACTATCCATCTTCGAGCCCCATTTGAATCTCCTAATATGTTATACGCATACGAACGCCATCTTACATCAGTACCACATAGATTCGAAACCCCTGTTTTTGTAAGCTTTTGCGTTCTTTCAAGCACCACGAGACTCGAAAACGTAGAGAAACTGTTTCCTACGAACACATCGGCTCTCAAGCAAACTTCGTAGTCGATTGCTGACTGAACGAGGTATGGATACTTCTGGTAGATTTCATCAATTCCCAATTTCTTCTTTTCTAAAGGTACAAACCCGTCTTTCCAACCTTTCGAAATCGAAGAATCGTTAAGTAAACTATCTCCAACCGCGAGATAAACGACCATTGGCGTTTTCATTTCGATAATGTTGCCTACTCTATTCACTATCTCCTCCTTGCTACTACAAATTTGGTTCATCTTAGATCTCTGCTCTAACTTCCTACAGTGAATCATCCAGTCGATCTCGATTCTCATGTGGACTGCAACATATGGTACCGGTTGCAACGACATCCGAGCTTTAGCACCGGTAGCACTCGAGTCGAGTTTGCTTCTTACTTCGGATCCTACTTCTCTAATCCTGGAGATCACTTTATCTGCTTCTTTCTCGATCTCGTCGACCAAAACCAAGCACTCGAGAACCTTGGCGTAGTCCTTAACGGGCCAGTGATCATGCCACAAAAATGGATTCTTACCCTCTATTCTAACCACCTCTGACTGATCAAATGGCTCCTTGCTATACTTCTTCAATTGCTCCAAATCCCTCTCAACCGTCCACTTCCTTCCGCTTCCTTTCGGTATCTTGATCGGTTTTGTTCGATTACTTACATCCATATAACGTCCCAATCGAACAAATCCATTACAACGAGGATTAAACTCCTCATATCGAAAGATCTTATCGAACGAAATTGGTTCCAAACGCTCAACTTCTTTATAAAACAGGGATGCACTAAGACTAGGCATCAAAAGAGTTCGGTTCAACATTCTTGCAGTCAAACAAGCTCTTGCAAATGCTATCTTTTGATTGTTTAAACCCCAAACAATCTGAGGAACCTCCAAAAACTTATCTAAGCAAAATGGAGATCGATTTCCGATGACTACTAAGCCATTCTCTTCGATCCGATCGAAACTCGAGAACGGAAAGACAATAGCTCTAGCAATCAGAAGAACAAGTAGTATAGCAATGCATTTACAGATTCTGGAATTTAGATAACGAAGGCAAAGTACAGAGCGTTTACCATTCGATTGAACATCCATTTAGAATTTCAATTCATAAGTCCCCTGCAAGAAATCAAACAGAGACCATACCCTTTGGCTATTCCAGCACAAACAAATCAATGCTGGAGAAATCATAACAACCCTCAAATCAATTCAAGAAATCGAGAGAAACCCATTTCGAATCATGAAATATATCATCAAAAGAACCCAGAAAAGAGTAATCAAACAGGGCAAAATCTTGAATCAGAAGAATCCTTAATCTAAAACCAAGCACCTAGAAGACACCCACAAGAACAAATCATCAAAACGCTTTGACAAAAGTAAGAAACGAGGATCAATCGAGATGCTAAAACGATAATGGGGATTAAACGATTCAACCGATTAAGAGTTGAAAAATGAAATCAAACAGAGAAACGAATGCAAAATAGATTTACCATTTAAGAAATCCAAAACCCAGAATCTGAAAACGAGAATCACAGACGAGAAAATCAAGAACAACGAAAGAACAGAGGAAAACACAACAGAGAGACGAAGGCTGGAAAGGAAAGGAAAGGGAGATGAGATTCACATGAAATACAAGAAAAAATAAAGCGGAATCCAGAGGAACCCACATGAGTTGCTTGATTCAAAAGCGAAAGGAAGCGAAAGAAATCATGGGCGTTGATGGAGGAGGAAAAGGGGAAAAGGGTCGTGAGAAAATGGGGCCTGTGTCAAGGAAGGAATAAAGGGTTCCAAATGAAACAATCTAATCAGGAAAGAGCAGGAAGTACAGATTTCGGGAAGTGGAGCCCAAATGGGGCACACTTCTGAGTACATTTGTGTCAGGAGAGGATGAAAGATCCTATAAAATGTATTTATAATTAAAGTGAAATTTAAAAAGTCTCAAACTTTAAGAGCTTATGTTCAAAGTGGATAATATTATATCATTATAAAAAGTCGTGTTCGTCTAACATAGTATCAGAGTCGTGTTAGTCTAACATGATATCAGAGTCATGCTCTAAATTTAGTTGTGCCACAATAAATTGATAAATTCTCAAATATTGAACAAAGGACTCCCTAAGACTCCAATATATCTTGCAAAAACTATGTTTTTTTATATATTTTTTTAAAAAACATTTATTTATTCAATTAAAACTAATTAATTATTTTTTTAGAATCAACCGCATTATAGAAAACTTATTTTATAATAATGTATTAAACAAACATGATTAATTATTTAATTGTAATAAATTAATCCTCACTATCTTTACATTTACAAAAAAAAAAAAAAAAAAAAAAAAAAAAAAAAAAAAAAAAAAAAAAAAAAAAAAAAAAAAAACAAATAATAATTGGAATACATTCCTATCAGTCTGGTTTAGTATTCGAGTCAGAACATCTAAGATCTTATGGAGATTTAAAATTGGTCGAAACACAAGGAGCAAGAACCCACCATATAATTTTCTCGATTTATTCGAGGTATTTATTATTTAATCTTAGTCATTAGTTTAATTTTATACCAACCAAAATCGATCCAAAGTTTGATTTTATCGGTTGTCTAAAGATCATAGCATCATAAAAAAATAAACACAATAAACCTCACGCTTCGTATCACCTTCATGTCATCTTTAATCTCGTTCTCCCTCCCTCTCTCGTCATTGTCGTTACTTTGCCTGTCTTCGCCCTATTCTCGTAATCTAACTACCCTCGGCTACCCTTTTACTGTTTAAAGTGAACGACGATGACGATGACGACGACGACAAGTCGACCCACCTCGTTTTGAAGAATAGAATCCCAAAAAAATAAGGGACAGGACAGTTTGTGTTTGTGTTTGTGTTTGTGTTTGTGTCATTACTACAAAAAAACAGGACAATTTTTTGAGCTCTCTCTCACTTTATATTAATAAAAAAAATAATGCCTGTTGTGGGGCCCGTTCTAGGGTTCGAACCCCAACACTCGGGGCTCGCTAATTCATGCCTACCAATCTGCTAAAAGTTGTATATTTTTGGCTTGTTCCTTTTGTTTTAATTTTGGATTAAATTTTATTTTATTTTTATTTTTTATTAAGGGGTTAGGTGTGAATATCTCATATTGATTTTTTTAAAATTATTACTTTTTTTAATTTTAATTTTCAAAATTTTATGGACAAGAAAACAATTTATTCTCGGAGTAGGAGTATAGATACGATCGAAAATAATTACTCTTACCAACTATCTCACGTCCTTCCAAAACATATTATTTACACGAACAGCCCGAAGACAATATCGATTGTCCATAGAGCTACGAAGTTTGAATTCGTTGTTTAAATTCAAATACAATTAGACTCATATCACGGGGCAAATGTTGGTTGATCCAGATTTCTAAACTTAAGAGGACAAGCGTTGGTCTAGGCTCCTCGTATCATAAATTTATGACGATGTCAAGAAGTTGGTTGGTTGAAGTGTTCTTACCTTTCGTGAGCATAGCTGAAACATTATAAGATCGTTACTACGAAACTGATTCAAACAGAAATACTATTTCAAAATTTAACGAACGTGAATATATATTCAATAAAAACCAGCATTAGAAATATGTTCCAATTGACGGAATTTAAAACAGAAGCAAAATAAAAAAAAATATGAATGGATGGAAAATCATTCTTAAAGAACTTTATTCCATAGCGTTCACAGCCAAAGCTATCAACCGTGCACATGTCCCTTACTTTTACCTAAAAATCATTAACAAAACGATGAATATTTAAAAATCCTCAATAACTAACGAAAAAATGTATATACATGCAAATATGTTTCCATGTCTAATGGAACGAGAATTCATATCTTGGCATTGGACAATAACTTCATTTATGGGTTAGTTTGGATTTATAATACTCTACGTACTATCTGTACACATGCATTTAGACTTATTAGGTGAATTCTTATACGCTTGAACGCTCTTATCCAATTGAAACCCATAGAAAGAAATAGAACGTAAAATAAAGTATAATAGGTATGCATTTGTATAATACGATCATTTGAGCACAAAAGGACAGATGAAGTCTCGCACATAAAATCATAGTTTAGTGAGATAATGCACATAATGCTTTCATACGTGACATGTTTTGAATATCTTATCAAAGATACATACATTTGCAATGTATTTCAATCATACTTTACATACATTTTTGATAAGATAAAGAACCACTACAAGCGAAGTAAGATTCAGATTACCTTGTTGATCGAATATCTCAAGACAAGAACATTGTTTGAGATTCGAATCACTCCACAAGCAAGATCGATCATGTCTAGCTTGAATGATTCTTGTTGATCAAATATCTCAAACACTTGTTTGAGATTTGAATCACTCCACAAGCAAGATTTGATCATGTCGAGCTTGAATGATTCTACATGCAACCTAAACTACATAGAATTGCAAATAAACTTAGTCATTGGCTAAAGAAAAGCACAAATGCTTCTTTTACTATATATTTTCCAAGTCGGCTTACAAATACAATATACATGGCTACTTCAAAATGAAACTACTAAAGCATTCAAAGAGGTGTTACATTCGGACTTAATGGCCATAATTAACCATTATGTAATTGTAACCTAAACTAAATAAAAACTCTTAAAATACCGTAATGAAATACAATAACTCTAAATTATAATCAACCCAAAATTTATCAGATCAAACTTCATTCTTCTTCAATGTGGCATGAATTGAAATATCTTTTGATAATTTCAACAATATTATCTTCACGTCCTCAATGAAGCATATTGTATGATTGATGTCCCTTGATTCATATCAATTTTACATCATAGTATCTCATAAATCATAAACATAGTCATAACAATCATGCACGAGTGTACACAAAAGCACTTGTATCAAATAAATCATACATAATCATAACAATTTAATAACACGTATCAGCATGTAAATAAAAGTCATATGATATATATTCATGCATTAGTAAATTTCATCCAATTTAGCTCGTATGTATTCCACACTAAGTTCACTTACATTTACACTTGACTCTATACTCCAAAGCGTCCCTTAGCTAATCGTTCATAAGTTCATCTCTAACAGATTCCATTTATCCTCAATTCAACCCTAAATAATTAGAAATCGACCTTAATTAGGTTTAAAATGCACTAGAATGATCCAAAACAGATAAATCGAGCAAAATTTGACTTACTTGAGTAAAGGGAAGTATGATATTGTACACTTTGAGCATAAGCTCTCATGACTTTGTTTTGGGCTTTCCAAAAGATCTCAGTCCAATGGAGACAATATTCTTTGATTATAAACTTATGATCATTCTCTAAATTAGCCGATGTGGAATGTCCATACAATCGGGCAAAAGGAAAAGCAGAGGGAAGTTGGTTGGAGTGGCCACGAGCTGGTTGCGTCTGGAAGTAGCTTGGAGGGGACGTACGGACGCAATGGAGAAGTCGGGGCTGTGCTGGACACTGGACTGCACGACGAGGTCACTGGGGTACTTGTGGGGCTGGAAGGTTCTCTGGTCGCGCGTGACTTGGGCAGGGCTAGTGTCTTATGCTTCGTACGCTTATGCGCATGTGGCTGCTAAACGTATTTGAAGCTGAGATCGTGGCCCAGGAGCTTCCTATGAGCTTGGGCTGGACGCACTTGTCTGCTGGGTTTGATTCGTGGATTTGGATTTGGTTCTAACCCGACATGAATTGATACTTCTTCTCCTTAACTTAGATTCTAAAATTTTGCATCCCTCCCTCTTCTCTATCGTTCGGTGTCGACATTGGTGCACGATTATGCTTGTTTGATACAATTATGGTCATGTGTCGACTATCTCGATCATGTTTGGGTGTATTGTCCATGATTGTATGCCCCTTCCAAACGCTTTTTACTTGCTTCCATATGTAGATAGGTCTTTAATATTCTTGTCATGTCAATACGCGACATATATAACTATTCACCAAAATTATGTATATATCCATTAGGGCTAAAATACCACAAAATGTACCATAGTAAATATAGCTAGTTGTAAATTTTTTTACTCAGGTTATAAGCTATTAAAACTCTAGTGGTTACTTATTCACTTTTAACTTATTACATTATTTCTTTTAAATTGTTTTCAACTCCTTGCTCACGTTTTCTAAACATTTATCTCAAAATTTTAAATTAATTGAATTTTGAATAAATTCAAACAAGGCAGGTTATGTTTGATTTGAATTGTCCACTTGGGTGGAGTGGTCAACTTTGTTTGAACGCCTTAACTTTGTGTTCGGGTGAAGAAAATATATATATATTTTGTGCGGCTCCTCCTTTATTACGATGCAAGGGACCAGGGGAGCCAAGAGCCTCCCCTATACCTTCACAATCTTCTGATTCACAACAAGAATCCTTCGCCTCAGGACCTACGTCAAGGGCTCTTGTCTTTGACATCGGGGCTCCTCGAGTGTAGATCTTCTTCTTTGAGTACAACCCCAGAGAGTTGCGATGACGCGGGATTCTTCTAACCCCTTAATATTATAGGAAAAATGGAGCTTAAGGAACATTGCCCAGAATGGGCATATATATATATATATTATTTTAAATCTCCTACGCTTAATTTTAAAATTTTTAAAATTAAAATTTAGATTTAAATACTGTTTTGTCAAATTTTAAGCCGAAATCTAAAGCTAAACTATATTCACTGACCCACCGCGTGTACCTTTGGCGGGCTGATGTTTGACAAATTATACAAATTTAAAAAAAAAAAAATCATTTTTTCCATGTTTGCCCATTGTTCTTTTACAATCCTTGACTTTACCTTTAATATATTCTATGTTATTGTTAAAAATCATGTTAGATGAACACGACTCTCTACAATAGTATGATATAGTCCACTTTAAGCATAATCTCTCATTACTTTGTTTTGGGCTTCCCTATCGGCTAATTTAGGAAATGATTATAGGTTTATAATCAATGAATATTCTCTTTATTAGTATGAGTCGTTTTGGAGAAGAGCCTAAAGTAAAGTCATGAGAGCTTATGTTTAAAGTGGACAATATCATACAATTGTTGAGGGTCGTGTTCATCTAACATGGGATCAGAGTCATGCCCTAAGCCATGTCAATAGAATCCTCAAATGTTGAACAAATAACTCCAAAAGAAAAAGGATTCGAGGCTCCTCGAAGGCATAGTAAAAAATGACGAAGACTCCAAAAGAAAAAGAAGTCGAGCCTCGATTAAGGAGAGGCGTACTTAGTTCGAGGGAAGGTGTTGGATGAAAGTCTCACATCGGCTAATTTAGGGAATGATCATGATTTTATAATCAAAGAACTCCCTCTATTGGTATGAGGTTTTTTAGGTAAGCTCAAAGGAAAGTCGTGAGAACTTATGTTCAAAGTAGACAAATAGATGTGTTCCTATCTAATATTTAAAAACAAAACTAAATTTTAATTGAAAACTATATTAAATAAATATTTAAAATATTTATTTAATTAGATATTTCCATCTCAATTTTAATATATATTTTTAAAAATGGTTTGGGGAGAGATAAAAAAAATAATTATATATATATATATATATATATATGAATAAATAATTTTTATTTATGTGAACCAAACGGAACGGGAGAATGTTTTTGAAAAGGGTAAATGCGTCTTTTCACATGATAAATTAAGGAGAAAGGAAATAAAATATTTATTTAAAATTAATTTTGAATCGCTGTCGCGTGGTATTGAAGTTGTTATTGTTCATCTTTTGCTTGCGGAGGAAAAGAGAGAGAGAGAAATAAAGGGGTTTGTCGCTTCGAAGAGAGGCGATCTGTCTTATTGTTTGGTTTTTGCTTTCGTCTTTCTTAGATCTTTTTCTCCCGTCAACGCTTGTTCTTCCTCAATTCTCTTCGATTTTTCTCTCGATTGCAGTTTACGGCCATGGCCACCAGCGGAAACAAGAACATTAATGCCAAATTGGTGACTCTTTTCTCCTCTTTTTCCTTCTCAAACCTTTGATTTCTCTGTTTCTGTCCAGATTTTGATGCTAACTTCGATGTGGATCTCTGTGGTTTTCTTTTTCCCGAATTCGGTTTGATTATCCTAGTACCTTCCGTTGACGATTCGATTAGGTCTTGTTTGGCTTAATCCCTTTTAGTTTCCTCGATTTGTGTGTTAATTCTGATCTGGGGTTTTGTTTTCTTCGCGATGAACTGGAATTCTTTCTGGTTTGATCCTATCAGAATTCTGTGGCTAGCACAAGCTTCTTCTACTCTCTGTTGTATGTCTTGTCGGTTGTATTTTTGAAATCCTTGTTTGCACATCTATGTACTTTCCAATTTGTAACTTGGTTTCGATCTCGGAGCTAACTCTCTGTAATTTATATAGCAAAAAATTTACTAGTATCGTGGCTGTAGGTCTTGGTTTCAGCAATCAGTTTTATAGGACGGTATCCCTTTTTGTTTTTCGAGGTTTTACATTCTCTTCCCCTATCTATTCAACTTCGGAAATTAAATCATTAAATTTCTTCCATATATATTGCTGTTACTGCGTGATTACAGTGTTACGGAACCATTGAACTATGCAACTTGATTGTAGTTTATCGTTTTCATATTATGCTGCCATTGTTTTCATTATCCAATTTTCCCTCGGAATTTTATTTGTTGAACAAGGAAATGGCTGGTGAGACTATGTTTAACTAAAATGATTTCTTAATAACACATACTAAATTCAGGTGGTTTTACTCTTTTTCTGTGTTCAGGTGCTTCTTGGTGATGTTGGTGCTGGGAAGTCAAGTCTAGTGTTGCGTTTTGTTAAAGGGCAGTTTGTGGAGTTTCAGGTTTGTATTATATGGCTTTGATTATTGAAATTTCCAAAAGGGCTTTTAGACCTTGACCATATTTCTTTATTTAAATTTTACAATTATGTAGGAATCGACAATTGGTGCTGCCTTTTTCTCTCAAACATTGGCTGTAAATGACGCCACTGTGAAATTTGAAATCTGGGACACAGCCGGGCAGGAGAGATACCACAGTTTGGCTCCAATGTATTATAGGGGTGCAGCTGCTGCTATTATCGTCTTTGATATTACCAATCAAGTAAGTGGCCGAACTCATCAACTACTTTCTTAAATACGTCTTCAATAAAGAAGTAATGTTATATGTCATTGAATTAAGTACCAACCATTTTGTTTTTACAAGTAATTGCTAAAATACTTGGAAACTGCAAGAGAACTGGTTTGGGATTCGTAAAGTTGTTATCAAGAGATTTAGGGTTTAATAAATTGTCACGTATTGGTGCTTGAGAAAGAAAACGGTTATGGGGCTGTATAGGACCTTAAATAGGATGCTATATACATATGTATGTGTACATACGAATATATGTATATTTATTGGTGGCAAGGAGCTAGGAGTAATGACTTTTATGAGTTCTTACCCTTCTAAAAAATGGCATGCTCTAAACATATCAGGTTTCATAGGGTACTATTCATCTCTTATATATTACTCTAATGTAATTGAATTGGAACTTTGTTCATTTTCCTTTTTAACTCTATTGGGTATCCTCTCATTGATCGCAGGCTTCATTTGATCGGGCAAAAAAATGGGTTCAAGAACTTCAGGCACAAGGTAGTCTTTGTTGTTACTGTTGCAAAGGCATCTTAATTTAACATTTTGTTAACTTTTAATTAGTAAAATTATTGTGAACACTTTGCCTATCTGAATTCTTTTACCAATTGGACCATGTCCCTTCCATCAGGCAATCCCAATATGGTCATGGCTTTAGCTGGGAATAAATCAGATTTGTTAGATTCTAGGAAGGTTTCTGCAGAGGCAAGTACCCTGACCCTTATTTCCTTTCTATGGTGTTACTTTGTTGAACTATTTTTTGTTAGTGAACATCAACCCCAGTTGGAACTTTGTGATTGTTCTTTGAAATGTCTATCATGTAGTTTGGACAAAATTGCTACATTTAGTTCAAGTGTTGCTCATGTGTCTGTGCATTATGCAGGACGCCCAAACATATGCACAGGAGAATGGCTTGTTTTTCATGGAAACCTCTGCAAAAAGTGCTGCTAATGTCAATGATATCTTCTATGAAATAGGTAAATAACTGACTTGTGAGTTGAATTGAACACCCCCCACCCCCATGAAAAAGCTGAAACCAGGTTAATCTTAGTTGCTTAGGATATTTTTTATCATGGTCTCAATAAACTCGTTTATGGAGCCTGAGTTTTGAAAATTGTTTTTCGACTGCGATGCAAAAAAGGAGTTATACGTCACATATAGTTAATCTCCCTATAATACTGAGGTTATATCAACCACTCACCTCCTATCCTACTCCTCCACCCTCACCTAAAATCTGCCAAAGTCAGCCTTAGCCATGGAATCCAAAAGCTTGTGAGGTACCTTCCTTAGGTTGTTCTTTTACCTCTCTTTCCCGTCAAGCCTCTTCAAGGAAGCTAGCTCAAGACCCTCTGGCGGATCATGACGACTGACTGACCAAAGGGGGGGAAAGTATGGATCACCCGTCGATCTGTGATCAAAGAAAACTATACCTGAAGAATGGGGATACAGATTGACCAGCACAAAAGCCATCTCTATCAATCTACGCTCATTGATGAGACGGCGACATAGAAAAGAAAGTCTACCGATTGTCACCCCCTTTTTTTCACTGAAAAGTCAAACAAAAAGAGAGAACCTTGGGAAGTTTAATAGGGTGGGATCGAGGATGGAATCAAATAGTGAATGTACTTGCGGTTAAGACAGGTCCTGCATCTCCAAAATTATAGAAGTCCCATCCTCAACCACACACAAACCCTCGGTAAAAAGATGAGTTAAAACTATTTTGATTCCTTGTTTTCGGATGCAGCTAAGAGATTACCCCGAGTGCAACCAGTACAGAATGCGGCAGGGATGGTTCTGGACAGACCTGCTGAGAGGGTAGCAAGCGCGTCATGTTGCTCGTAGATCTTCGTCCTTTCTCGGTTCTAAGCTGTCAGCAGCATGTCCTTCAGTTGTATGGAGCGTTTGAAAAGAAAAGAAAGGAAAAAGAAGGAAAAAGAAGAAAAAGAAAGAGAGGTTGGCAATGTTGGGTTTATTATGATGTGTAAATTGACGGTTGTTTTTAGAAGATATTGCTTTCTTATGCAGCCTCTTGCAGTAAAGTGGCTGACTACTATGTGTTTATATATGACCTTTGGGCTTGCTTCTTCACATGCACAGTTCTGCAAATTAAAAGCACTCCCAAATGAGAGGAGAGGAGAGGTTGTGTGAGTGTGTGTAGTCTTAATTGCATTATTATTAGTTAAGTTAATAGAAATAACCGAACTATTACTATATTACTCGAACGAGATTTGCCCTTGTAGAAACTGTCATCGTACCTGGTACGTAACATCGTTGCATTGGGGTTGGAGTATGCCTTGTAATTGGGGTCAAGGACTATGACTCGAGTAAGTGTATGCTTAATGTCGAAAATTTCTATAAAATGTATGTGTGAGTTTCATACCATCAATTATGTTTTCTAATAATTTAGGCTGAAAACTAGTTGATTTGGAGATTATGAATGGTCCATAAGCAAGTTGATTTGACTCATTGTTAGGCTGAGTTGGTTTTGGTGGTCTAATGTATGGAAATTGACTTTGAAAAAATCAAATGGATTGTTTGAAGGTCGAAAACAAAAAGAAAACCGACCAAAATTGAATGGTGTAGCCCATTTTTATTTCAACTTTAACTAGAATCAATGGACCATGTAATTCCAATAATTCCTACAAAAAGAGGTAGGTAGGGAGAAACAGAACTGATTTATTTGGAGAAAGAAAAAATGACATTTACACAGGTAACGATTGTCAAAAAAAAAAAAAAAAAATATAGATCAGTTCAACTCGTTGGAAATCGAGGGAATGACCGAATCTTCAACCACGACGTAATCCACGCCCCCTCATTTAAATTGCTCATTCACACCCCCACACTCTGCACATCCACCCTCCTGAGTACGTGAGATACATCAAATAGACGTGGAGTCTACATTCTTGAATGGAAAACTTGAAGAAAAAGTTTATGTTTGAACAACCACTTAGCCTTATTGCTGAAAGGCAAGAAAAGACTTTTAGCAAAGAAAGTGTACAAGTTGAAGAAAACTCTTTATGGGTTGAAACAAGCCGGAAGATGGAATGCAAGAATTGATCCATAGGCAAGAAAGATTTGTGAATTGTCCTTATGAGCCTTCCTTATATGTAAACATGAACTCACATAGAAAAATGTTGTTTGTCTGTTTGTATATCGATGACTTGATGTTATTGGGAATCAATAACTATATGATCCAAGAACTCAAGCACTCAATGGAGGAGTTCGAGATAACAAACTTAGGTGTGAAGTACTTCCTAAGGATTGAGATGCAACTAGATGAAGATGAGATCTTTATTTCTCAATCTAAGTATATTAAAGAGATCTTAGACTTAGAATAGGGTTCACAACCCAACACTATACTTCTAAATTATTATAAAAATTAAAGATATTTTACCTTTGTAATCAAATGTTAATGTTATGAACCCAACTCATGTTTTGAACTCCATTTGAATCATTCGAATTACCCATCCAAAAAATTATCAGGGCTCTTTTAACCAAGTCAAATGCAAAAAAGAAAGCATCTCAAATTTCAAACAAATTACTCGAGAGATTTCGTAAACCATAAGCCATAGACAAGGCTGAAGAAAAGTAAAACAGTGCCTGAGATCAAGAACGGAGAACCAAGAAACGAACCAAACCGAACCGAGATCGTAAATATATCTGAATACAAAATAATTGCAGCGGTATCATCACATTCCTTCCATACATTCAGGAAAAAGAGAGAAGAACTATACAGAAAGAATGAATTGGTACACAGAACTGACAAGAGGAAGAAGACACTAAAAATGTCTCAACGAATTTAAAGTTATTTTGAACCATTTACAACACACTGCATAGCATCAAATCCCTTTTCCTCCTCAACCCATTTGCAGATTGATATGAACCACAAGAACATGTTTCTCATCGCCTTTTCGATATCGTCTTCATTAATCCCTTCACGATCTTCCCGAACCACATCAAGTTCATCATCCCTAGCACGGTCGGCACTCCAAATACCAAAATATATCCTATTACATGCATCTTAATTACCTGCATAACACGATTGTCCATATCGTGATCGAGTTAAATGAGAGAACATATTGCAATAAGATCAATGTTCCCATTTTACAACTTAATGAACAAAGCCATAAGCACTGAAAAATATGCATAATTGATCTTGAAAATACCTGATCATAGTGCAGGTAAACATGATAGAATGTGTAACCAAACAGCAGAATGCGAGCAACCTGTTATAAACACTCATCACCAAGCATGTAAACAACAATCCAAATACAAGAAAATCCAATCATAAAACAAGATCTGAGTGCGGATACTAATATGTGAGATCGATATCTCTCATATCGATTTGAGAGGAGAACAAAACACCCTTTATAAGAGCATGAAAACCTCTTCCTGGTAGACGCGTTTTAAAAACCTTGAGAGAAAGCTGGAAAGGGAAAGCCCAAAGAGGACAATATTTGATGGTGGCGGACTTGGGCTGTTACAAATGGTATCAAAACCAGACATGGGGCGATGTGCCACCAAGGAGGATGAGCTTCAAAGGAGGGTGGACACGAGGCGGTGTGCCAGCAAGGACGCTGGATCCCGAAATGAGGTGGATTGGGGGGGGTCTCACATCGATTGGAGAAGGGTACGAGTGCCAACGAGGACGTTGGTTCCCAAGGGGGTGGATTGTGAGATCCCACCTTGGTTGGGGAGAAGAACAAAGCACCCTTTATAAGAGAGTGAAAACCTCTCCCTAGTAAACGCGTTTTAAAAACCTTAAAGGGAAGCCCAAAAGGGAAAGCCTAAAGAAGACAATATCTGCTAGCGGTGGACTTGGGCTGTTACGAATGGTATCAGAGCCAGACACTGGGCAATGTGCCAATGAGGAGGATGAGCTTCGAAGGAGGGTGGACACGAAGCGGTGTGCCAGCAAGAATGCTGGACCCTGAAGGGGGGTGGGGATTAGGGGTCCCACATCGATTGGAGAAGGGAACGAGTGCCAGCGAGGACGTAGGGCCCCAAAGGGGGTGGATTGTGAGATCCCACATCGATTGGGGAGAAGAACAAAGCACCATTTATAAGAGTGTGAAAACCTCTTCCCAGTAGACACGTTTTAAAAACCTTGAGGGAAAGCCCGAAAAGGAAAACCCAAAGAAGACAATATCTGCTGTGGTAGTTCATGTTCAGTTATGTTAAATCCAATTCTTTAGGATCTTTTAGCATGTCGTCGAGCTATTGACGGTCGTGTTTACGCCATTTTATATATAAAAAAAAAAAACAGGCAAGATGACCTTCAGACCATTAACTCACCAGCCATGCAAAGAATATTACAAAGCCATTAATCAGATATGCACAGGATCTCTTCATACCAGCTGTGTCAAGATACCTTCACAAAATATGAAAGAATTCAGAGGAAGAACTAATAAAATTAAGAATCAATACCATAACGAAAGCCTACCATCTCATATTAATCTCAGGAGTTGTAATCTCTGAAATGAGAACCATATATGTATAGAGTTGCCCTTCTCCAGAAAGAACAGAATATGCTACTGCTAGTCCAGAAAGAGAGTGGTGGACAACCTATCATCGAAGTTTCATAATTATGCACGACTCTTATCAAATTTGAAGCGCTATCAGCAGCGAAGGTACTTACATATTCCATCCCGCCTAAAGACGGATACAGAAAAATGATCAATCCGAGATCTGCCAAAAAGTATCCAACCGAAATCTGGAAAAGGGTATATGATTAGAATTTTAGTTAATGTTTAGTAAAAATTCAAGTAAAACAGAATAGAAGCTCAAATGACTCGAAAAGTCTGCCAAGCGGTGTCAGACAGCTCGGAAGGTCTATCGTAGATGTTATCCTCAAATCAGAAACAGAAAATCAGACATTGTGTCCGTCCAAATATGGCCATGTCATGTTGGATTATAGAGGTTCCCTCATTCAACTAAGTATAATACAGATAAGGTTCAACTTTTAGATTAAAACAAACAATGTTGAAGCAAAGATCCAATATCATCCTCGTTTCATTTCCCAACACGTCGCAAATCATTGTTTTGTGACGTGTTTGCATTGCCTTGCTAATGCTATATTGAATAGCATGGTTGAGCTGGATCGCAAGGACCGAGTTTTGCTAATGGCGCCTCCTTTCAGGCTGCCTCTATCTTTCTAACATTGTTGCAACCCACCCCCATTTCATCCATTGATGAGTTCTTAGCTTTAAAGAACATTTTGGATAACTTAATACACACCTCAATAGATGAAAGCAACTACTAATGGCTAACACATAGGGTGGTTAACATTGGGACTTAGTTTTTTTTAACATATGGCCTTTACACAATCCACAAGAAAACGTTGGGCCGACAACATTTTGGCATGTGTCCTTATCGTGCACCGCTTACATGCTGCTTAGAAACTTTATCTAAAACATCAAAAAATTCAAAAGGAAGCTGACATTCATTGAAGATTAGGTAGTAGAAAGCTTACCCCCAATATGAACGTAGACAACGTCGAACTTTGAAAGGTAAGAAGGCCAGCGTGACGCTGGTCAGAGAAGAGATCTGACCAGAAAACGAAGTACAATGACATAATTGAGATATATATTGCATGAATAGTGGACACACCGCTGCCAATTTTAGTTCAAAATATCAGTAATGGCCATAACAGTCCACTGAATAGATTATGAAAGCAATGGACAATCAAAGATACTAAACTCACCGGTTATTCCACTCGACTCGTTGAATTTTCGTAAGACCCAGATAACTCTTGAAGTAAAAATTGCTAACTAATTGAGTAAGATCATATACCTGCACGAGGAAACACAAAATTTTTAATGTGTCCTAATTGAAGAGAAGCAGCATTTTGTCCTAATATCTAGCATGAGCTAAAAGTTGATACATACCAATTTACAAGCAAGCATGCCTCCAAGAACAGAGGTGTACGGGATAAAACGATCTGCTAATAAGTAGTTCTTTACCAATGCATCAGCTTGACTTTGGTAAGATTTAATAGCCATTACAGTCTTCAAAGACATTGCCATTGTTTTGTTTGGCTACATAACAATCGGCAGATTGCTGTATCTTAGACTGAATTAACTATTTACTCCCTCACTCCATGTTGTTATCCCTTCTTGACCAAATATGAAGCTAGTTAGAAAGAAATATAAAGGATAGTGATATACAAAATCTGTGCTTAAGCAATCAATGTTCATAAGCGGCAATTAACCTCACAAAATGAAGGACAAACGGCATCGAGAAGAGTACAACAGCATAACATCCAAAATCTAGTTGATTCCTTATTCCATCTTAAAAAATTTCTAAGCAATCAATCTGAACTTCCCACGAAAGAGCACACGAATCACTTAGCTAAAGTTGTTCCATAGTTTATATTTTCCTTTTGGGACCAAACTAAATGCATCCAGTCTAGAATTATCATATAAAATATATGAGACTTAAACTGTGCAATGTAAAAAACATCATTGCAAATTCTATCGATTCTTTCATTCTTTTTATTGGATAATGTTGATGGATGACCCATGTGATCAACTTTCTAGGCACAAATATCACCATTGCAAGGTGCACCAGCCGGGAATACGATTCCCAGGTCTGTATCATGGCAGAGTACTATTCTACTATTGATTCTTTCTTTCATTTTGAATATACCACAAAAGAGCTCTTGAGACACTATTGCTGTATCATGTTGAGAATTGTTGGGAGGGAGTCTCACGTTGGCTAATTTAAGGAATGATCATGGGTTTATAAGTAAAGAAACATTCTCCATTGATATGAGGCGTTTTGGGGAAACCAAAAGTAAAGTCATGAGAGCTTATGCTCAAAGTGGACAGTATCATACCATTGTGGAAAGTCGTGATTCCTAATATGGTATCAGAGCCATGCCCTGAACTTAGCCATGTCAATAGCATTCTCAAATGTCAAATAATGAAGTTGTGAACCTCGAAGGTGTAGTCAAAAGTGACTCAAGTGTCGAACAAAGGAGGTACTTCTTTCAAGGACTCCAGAGAACAAGTCGAGCCTTGATTAAGGGGAGGCTGTTCGAGAGCTCCATAGGCCTCGAGGGAGGCTCTATAATGTACTTTGTTCGAGGGGAGGATTGGTGAGGATTGTTAGGAGGAATGATCATGAGTTTGTAAATAAGAATTGTATCTCCATTGGTATTCAGCCTTTGGGGAGACCCAAAGAAAAACCATGAGAGCTTATGGCTCAAAGTGGACAATATCATACCATTGAGAAGAGCCGTGATTCCTAACATACCATGCAACCACCCGCAAGAAAGCATTCATGGAAGCATCAAACAAAACAACTTCGTTTCTTCCAAACATATCAATATTTTTTTCAAAAAACTTATTAATGTCATTCAAGCAAGGCAGATTGCCTACAAACTACAAATGAAAATACAAAATGTTAAAGAAGAACTAGAAGAAACAAGGACTGTCTCAAAGAGAAACGACGCTCACTCATTGAATCAACAAACTACAAGAGGATGATTCCATATTTTGAACAAAACCCACGAACGCTACAAAAGCAAATAATCAGATAAGCTCAAAGATCATATGGTGTAACTTACAGCAAACACACAAATTCACAACTCTAAAAGATCCCATCAACATAAACGATCAAAACACAGATGAGCAACCCAGAAAAACAGAGGAAATCAGTAAAATCAGCGCAAAAAACAAAGAAAAGAAAGAAGCAATACCTCATAAATGAAAACCCCAGATCACGAGGAGATGCAGAGGAAGGGGTTTTTCATTTTTTCAAAGATAACAAAATGGGAACAAACAAAATAAGATATCTGTAAAGGGCGATGCAACAACCGGCCGGTATAAAAGAACCGTGAGGTTGAATCAATGTGAAGCGTTAGGAATCTCCAACCGCAACAATCTAAAATAGTCAATCGCGACAAGATGGAGAGAAATTACAAAGAATAAGAAGGAATTGGTGAAATATGGGTAATCGAATTGGAAGTGGGTTTTGCTAATCAGCAATGCATTTGAGTGTCCAGAGATGGGATCGTCGTATTCTAATGGATTCAATTTCATTCTATCCAATCCTCGCACTACCAACCCAAGGAATGTGATATCTTCGCGCCTTGCCCGATGATTTTTTCCCTTTATTTTTTAGGAAAATCACTCGGTGTAGGATTCAGGAAATGTTTGAATTATATTGTAATTTTTTTTCTTTGAGATGATTCAATTTGATACGCAATAAAAGGATATTATTTATTTTTAGGTCCTAAACCAATTTCTTCCATTCATTCTATTGTATTTATCACTGATACGAGAAAAAATTTATACTTTCTTTTGTCTCGATCCATGGTCTGAACGAGTCACACATACACCCGAGTACATGCTCCTCAATGCTGAGGACATCCTCGAAGGGCGGGCGATTTGGTGATATTTCTGATTGGCTGTCTTGTGTTTCTAATAAGGTGTTTAATAGTTGACATGTTGAATTGTATGCTTAATGAGTTAGTTTAGATCAATCATAACGGGATGATTATGAATTACTTCGATATTTATAATTAATATGATTAATAGTATTAGAAAATATTATATTTAACTCCAAGTAAGAAGAGAAAATCTCAAATTTCGAATTTTTGCATGAAATTCTCACTATTTTTTATTCAACCGCTACATGCTTATAAGAAGTCGCTACACTCAGATTATTCTCACTAACATGCTTATAAGCAGTCACCCAAACTTTAAAATTCCTCTAATTAAGTTATCAAAAAGCACATATATCTTATCGGTATATAGTGGTCTAACATCACATATCACACATATGACATGTGCACAGCCATTGGACGCGTGTCATTATACATAAAGAAATTCTTAACCTAAGCGCTCGTGGCCTAATAGATAAGGCACTTGACTTCTAATCAAGCGATTGTGGGTTTGGGAACCATCGAGCGTGATGATTTTGTTTTTTAACCCCGACATTACTACGTTACATTCATATAACATGTGCAGGGCCGCTGGGCACGTGTCATCATACATTAAAGCAATTTTTGGCATAAGCGCTTGTGACCTAATGGATAAGGTGTTTGACTTCTAATCAAGTGATTGTGGGTTTAAGTCCCATCAAGTGTGATGATTTTGTATTTTAGCCCCGACATTACGTTACATCCATATGACATGTGCAGGGCAGCACGTGTCGTCATACATTAAAGCAATTTTTGGCATAAACGCTCGTGGCCTAATGGATAAGGCACTTGACTTCTAATCAAGCAATTGTGGGTTTTGAGTCCCATCGGGCATGATGATTGTATTTTAACCCCGACATTCGTTGCATCCATATAACATGTGCAGGGCCGCTAGGCACGTGTCATCATACATTAAAGCAATTTTTGACATAAGCGCTTGTGGCCTAATGGATAAGGCGCTTGACTTCTAATCAAGCGATTGTGGGTTCGAGTCCCATCAGGCGTGTAATGCTTATGTATTTTAACCCATGACTTCTAATCAAACGATTGTGGGTTTGGGTCCCATCGAGCGTGATGATTTTATTTTTTAACCCCGACATTACGTTACATTCATATAACACGTGTCATCATACATTAAAGCAATTTTTGGCATAAGTGCTCGTGCCCTAATGAATAAGGCACTTGACTTCTAATCAAGTGATTGTGGGTTTGAGTCCCATCAAGTGTGATGATTTTGTATTTTAACCCCGACATTACGTTACATCCATATGACATGTGCAGGGCAGCACGTGTCGTCATATATTAAAGCAATTTTTGGCATAAGCGCTCGTGGCCTAATGGATAAGGCGCTTGACTTCTAATCAAGCGATTGTGGGTTTGGGTCCCTTGAGCGTGATGATTTTGTTTTTGAANCCCGACATTACTACGTTACATCCATATAACATGTGCAGGGCCGCTGGGCACGTGTCATCATACATTAAAGCAATTTTTGGCATCAGTGCTTGTGGCCTAATGGATAAGGCGTTTGACATCTAATCAAGTGATTGTGGGTTCAAGTCCCATCAAATGTGATGATATTGTATTTTAGGCCCGACATTACGTTACATCCATATGACATGTGCAGGGCAGCACGTGTCGTCATACATTAAAGCAATTTTTGGCATAAGCGCTCGTGGCCTAATGGATAAGGCGTTTGACATCTAATCAAGTGATTGTGGGTTCAAGTCCCATCAAATGTGATGATATTGTATTTTAGGCCCGACATTACGTTACATCCATATGACATGTGCAGGGCAGCACGTGTCGTCATACATTAAAGCAATTTTTGGCATAAGCGCTCGTGGCCTAATGGATAAGGCACTTGACTTCTAATCAAGCGATTGTGGGTTTTGAGTCCCATCAGGCATGATGATTTTGTATTTTAACCCCGACATTCGTTACATCCATATAACATGTGCAGGGCCGCTGGGCACGTGTCATCATACATTAAAGCAATTTTTGGCATAAGCGCTCGTGGCCTAATGGATNAGGCACTTGACTTCTAATCAAGCGATTGTGGGTTTTGAGTCCCATCAGGCATGATGATTTTGTATTTTAACCCCGACATTCGTTACATCCATATAACATGTGCAGGGCCGCTGGGCACGTGTCATCATACATTAAAGAAATTTTTGACATAAGCGCTTGTGGCCTAATGGATAAGGCGCTTGACTTCTAATCAAGCGATTGTGGGTTTGGGTCCCTTGAGCGTGATGATTTTGTTTTTGAACCCCGACATTACTACGTTACATCCATATAACATGTGCAGGGCCGCTGGGCACGTGTCATCATACATTAAAGCAATTTTTGGCATCAGCGCTTGTGGCCTAATGGATAAGGCGTTTGACATCTAATCAAGTGATTGTGGGTTCAAGTCCCATCAAATGTGATGATTTTGTATTTTAGCCCCGACATTACGTTACATCCATATGACATGTGCAGGGCAGCACGTGTCGTCATACATTAAAGCAATTTTTGGCATAAGCGCTCGTGGCCTTATGGATAAGGCATTTGACTTCTAATCAAGCGATTGTGGGTTTTGAGTCCATCGGGCATGATGATTGTATTTTAACCCCGACATTCGTTACATCCATATAACATGTGCAGGGCCGCTGGGCACGTGTCATCATACATTAAAGCAATCTTTGACATAAGTGCTCGTGGCCTAATGGATACGGCGCTTGACTTCTAATCAAGCGATTGTGGGTTCAAGTCCCATCGGGTGTGATATTTTGTATTTTAACCCCGACATTCGTTACATCCATATAACATATGCAGGGCCGCTGGGCACGTGTCATCATACATTAAAGCAATTTTTGGCATAAGCGCTCGTGGCCTAATGGATAAGGCACTTGACTTCTAATCAAGCGATTGTGGGTTTTGAGTCCCATCAG